TGAGAGAAACCACCGTCATTCACCGGCGACTTGGCTCACAATGGAGCCTTCTAGGAGATTAGTAAAGTGACTCCTTCTGCCTACATCACGGTGTGATTGCCAAAACAGTCTAATAATAATAATAATAATAATAATAATAATAATAATAATAATAATAATAATAATAATAATAATAATAATAATAATAATAATAATAATAATTATTATTATTATTATTATTATTATTATTATTATTATTATTATAAAATAGAATTAAAACAGCCCAGAAATTGTTAACTTTCAAATATATTATTAATAATATTAATAATAATATTATTATTAATAATATTATTAACATTTTTATGTTTATTCTTCTTATAATAAGTATTATAATTGTTTGAATAACATTAATCTTCATCATTAATATTCTTATACTAATTTGTTATTATTGCGATTTGTTAACATCAAATGTTTATAACAATACATGTTTATAATAATTATTATATTATATAATATTAAGATATATTATATTAATGTTTAGTATTATTGTGAAATAGTAAAGTATTAATATTAGTTTAATATTAATACTTTAATTATAATTAGGAATAGAATCATTCCGTATGTATCCAAAAAATTGAGGTACCAAACATATCATGTATGGTTATATCATTGTTTTTTTCCTTTACAGAGAATGAGAATTGTACTGTCATGGATGCATCGTACATGTCGTCCATTGAATGCAACAACAATACACACAATCGTACACCCCTACGTGCTGTTTTCCAAAGTTCGCTAAGTACACCTTTAAGTATTGTGACAAATGGTAAGTGTGTTCTATATGATAGTGAAATTATATAATTAATTGTTGCTAACCATATTTTGGTTATGAAATTCACAGCTTCGACCGCAATTCGTACGACAATTCGGAATTCGCCTTTGCAAGATTTGGGTAGCAGAATACCATTAAGCAACATATCCAATAGTACGAACATAAACAATCATTTTTAACGTCTATAAATAATTTTAAAGATGTGATAATTAACATCCTAACAAGTTTTTTGTACGGCTCCTTTATAATTAAAGAAAATATCGCTCGGGTTGACGGGGATCGTGAAAAAGCACCTATTACGAAGCGCCACAATCATTCGATCGACTTAAATAGAACCCCAGATTCACAACTAGGTATCAAAATTTCCACTCCATCGATGTATTTATTCCTTATAGCAATCTACACATTCTAATTACGAATCCTGTAGCCATTTATAATTTTATATTGGTTAATAATAATCGTGGTTGTTGAAATGCACAGTATCTTCTCCGTTACGGATGACCATACATACTACACCAACGCAAGAATTGAGTAGCAGAATGCCATTTAGCAACATATCAAATGGTATGAACTTCAACAAATATATTGTAATAAGATTACTAATGAATTATATATATAGTCAAATTGAATAGTTATTATTCTAACGAATCTTATTAAAAAATATGTATTATTAAAGCAAATTGCGGTCAAGTCAATTTGATCCGCAGCAATCCACCTACAGCTGACTGTCCAAGTTTCTGCTTCGACTTAAATCTATTGCCAGAGTCGCAGATAGGTATAAACATATATTCAAGAAGATGTTATTAATTGTCACACATTTATAATTATTCATTTAATATATAACCAAATTAATTACAATTGGATATTGTTCTTTTAGGGATGGAAAGTAATTGTTGCATTACAAATGACAATAATATGCAAAGAGTCCTGGTAGAGCCGGAGAGTGAAACCATTCCGCAGTACCGCAATTTGTTACCAGACTTTCAGGAAGTTGTTGAACCGTTACATGACAATATGCCCTCAGTTAATGGTGAGTTCATATGAAATGTGGTAGGACAAAAACGTATTATATTTGGACTACAGTAAAATACATTATCATGCTAACTAATATTTTTTTTTTTTTAGATTTTTATTTCGATCTTGGTGATCCAGAGTATCTTTGCGAGCATTGTAATTCAATTTTTTTGGTACAATGAACGGTCAAGCAATTCAAAGTCATGTGAAAGTCCAAAATACTCTGCGTGTTGTGTAAATGGTAAAATAAAGTTGCCATTTATGACAAAGCTTCCTCAAAAGTTGTATGAGCTATTCTTTACATCAAACGATAAAAACAAATGTTTTTTAAAGAATATAAGGTCATATAACAGCATGTTTTGCTTTATGTCGATGGGTGGAAAAATAGATAGAACTATTAACAACGGAACATCGCCGCCGATATTCCGTATCAATGGTCAAAATTTTCATCGGATTGGAAGCTTATTACCTTCACATGGCATTCAACCGAAATTTTCCCAATTATACATTCACGATACAGAGAATGAGATAGAAAATCGCTTAAATTCTTTGAGGTATACTCTTTTGTGTTACTGAAATATTTTTGGTATATCATGGGTTAATACAGAGTATCTTATATTATATATTCTTCCTTTTTTAGTGCCGAAAACAATGGTTTTGCGTTGCATAGTGAGGTAGTACATGACATTAAGCAAGTGCTAGATGAACACAATGTGTTGGTTAAGTCATTCCGAATGGCCAAGTCGTTTCTGGAGTCTAATCCTCAAAGTTAAATCAGAATGAGATTAATAGGAAAGAGGACTAAAGATGCCAGGACTTATGCGTTACCAACTACTTCCGAGGTTGCTGCACTCATTGTTGGAGATATAGACCCTTACATGGGTCAACGGGATATTGTTGTCGAGTGTAGGTCTGGAGCAAACGAATAAATGAATTAAACCTGGCCTATTTACCATTGCAATACCCAATCTTATTTCCATACGGGGAGGATGGTTTTCGAGAAGATATATATTTTGCAACACTTGGTACAAAACAAGATTTTGCAAGAAAGAGTGTTTCACAAAGAGAGTACTTCGCGTTTCGTATCCACGAAAGATCAAATGAGATCTCAACAATAATGTATGCCAGAAGGTTATTCCAACAATTCTTGGTTGATGCGTATACTATGGTTGAATCTTCGAGGTTGCTCTATATTAGGTCAAATCAAAAACCTCTGAGGTGTGAGGCGTACAAAGGTTTGTCTGATGCGTTGACCCGGGGTGAAGTTCAACCCAGCTCTCAAGGGAAAAGAATAATATTACCATCAAGTTTCACTGGAGGAGCAAGATACATGATACATAATTATCAAGACGCCATGGCAATTTGCAGATTCATAGCTTATCCAAATCTGTTTATTACTTTTACATGTAATCTCAAATGGCCCGAGATACAACGATTCTTGGAGAAAAGAAACTTGAAAGCTGAAGATCGTCCCGACATTGTCTGCCGTGTTTTCAAACTGAAGCTAGACTATTTAATTAAAGAAATAAAGAATGGAAAACTATTTGGTCGTGTAAAGGCAGGTGCGTACTGCATGAGCTTATAAGTGTCATTTTTTAGAATAATAATTATTATTATATGAAACTTCTATCTAACAATATGAATGCTTTTCTGACAGTAATATACACAATTGAATTTCAAAAACGTGGTCTTCCGCATGCACACATATTACTGTTCCTACAAGCGACCAACGACTTTGCCAACCCGGCTTTTATGGACACGATCATTTCAGCCGAGATTCCCGACAAGCGTTCAGACATTGAGTATTACAAAGTTGTCGAAGAATTCATGCTGCACGGCCCATGCGGTGCTGCAAGGACTAAATCCCCGTGCATGGCAAATGGCAATCGTTCAAAGCATTTTCCAAAAAGATACATTGATGCATCACATTTTGACCAAGATGGTTACCCGTTGTATCGAAGAAGGGATGATAAGAGGACAATAAAAAAGAATGGAATAGAGTTGGATAATAGATATGTTGTACCACATAATCGGTACTTGCTTTTGAAATACAAATCTCACATTAATGTAGAGTGGTGTAACCAATCTAGGTCAATCAAGTACCTCTTCAAGTACGTAAACAAGGGCAACGACCGTGTAACTGCTGAGTTTTATAAGACTTCGATGGATGAAGCGGGTAATGAGATTGTGGATGAGATAAACATGTACTATGATTGCAGATACGTATCTGCATGCGAAGCAGCCTGGAGATTGTTTAGTTTTGAAGTCCAGTATAGGACTCCCCCGGTTGAGCGATTAAGCTTCCACTTGCCGGATTGCCAATCAGTTGTTTTCCAAGACGATGATAGTATTGATAATGTACTCAATAGAGAAACCGTTGGTCAAAGTATGTTTAATGCATGGTCTTTAGCCAACCAGAATTTCAAAGAAGCGAGTTTGTTGACTTACATTGAAGAACTGAGTTACAATTCGGAACAATTGAAGACAGATTCTGAACTGATGTGTGCCAAACTAACAGAAGAACAGAGTCTCATTTTTGATACTGTTATGCAAGATATTGCAACCAATAAAGGTGGATTATTTTTTGTTTATGGTTACGGTGGGACAGGAAAGACTTTTTTATGGAGAGCGTTATCCGCTGCAGTCCGGTGCAAAGGCCAGATCGTTTTAAATGTCGCATCAAGTAGCATAGCTTCTTTGTTGTTACCAGGTGGCCGAACAGCTCACTCGAGATTTGCAATACCTATTGCAATAAATGAGGACTCTACCTGTAACATTAAACAAGGTAGTGACTTGGCTGAATTGTTGATAAAAATGAGCTTGATAATTTGGGATGAAGCTCCCATGATGCACAAACATTGCTTTGAAGCGTTAGATCGAACCATGCGAGATTTGTTGCGTTTTGTTGACCCTAACAGTGAAATGAAGACGTTTGGTGGTAAAGCAGTTGTCCTGGGTGGAGATTTCCGCCAAATTCTTCTAGTAGTTCCAAAAGGTACACGTCAAGACATTGTTTCGTCCGCTATAAATTCATCATATTTATGGGATAGTTGCAAAGTTTTAAGATTGACTAAAAACCTAAGGCTAAGTTCGGTACACAACGGTGTGAACCGGCAGGCATTATAAGAGTTTGCTAACTGGATTGCCAATATCAGCGATGGAAAGCTAGGTGGGCGAAATGACGGATTCGCAGAGGTTCAAATACCTAATCACATGTTAGTATCATCCGGGGGGGGGGGGGGGGGGGGGGGGGGACGACATTAAAGCAATTGTGGAAAATACATTTCCAATGTTTGCAGTTGGAAACGCTGACCCCGAGCATCTGATAGGTCGTTCTATACTTGCACCAACGCTGGACGTTGTCAACGCAGTTAATGAATATATGACTGAGTTGCATAATGCCGAAAGCAGGTCCTACTATAGTTCAGACGCAGTATGCAAAGCCGACGGTGATAATGGTATACTTGGAGATGTACACACCCCGGAATTTCTAAACAGCATTCGTGTGTCGGGTCTACCAAATCATACACTGAATTTGAAAATTGGCTCACCAGTAATGTTAATGAGAAATATTGACCATTCTCTTGGGTTGTGCAATGGAACTCGGTTGATAATCACAAAGTTAGCAGACCATGTTATTGAAGGCGAGCTTCTCACTGGTCCCAACAAAGGTACAAAAGTGTTAATTCCCCGAATGTCAATGTCACCCTCGGATCCAAGATTGCCGTTCAAGTTTCAACGAAGGCAATTCCCATTGATGCTTTCATATGCGATGACCATAAACAAAAGTCAAGGCCAAACGTTGACTCATGTAGGGTTAATACTAAAGAAACCGGTTTTTGTACACGATCAGTTGTACGTAGCTGCATCTCGGGTTAATAATCTAGACGGTCTGAAAATACTGATTGTAAAAGACTCAAGTTCAACTACTACATCAACCACCAATGTTGTATATCATGAAGTTTTCAATAATTTGTAATTTTGTAATGTATTGTTTTTATATTACCAACACCTTGCAACTATTAGTACACACAATTTTCATACGTTTTGGCGCTGTATTCCCCAATATATCACACAAATCTTAACATAAAATACACACAACTAAAAATGTTTAAATAACATCCCGTGCATCGCACGGGTCAAATACTAGTATGTATATATATATATATATATATATATATATATATATATATATATATATATATATGAAAGTGAATATGAATTGCAACTATGTTGATATTAGGTTATGTATTTTTTAATAAATAAGATTATTAGAATGTTGTCCAATATTCATTCCGTGCATCGCACGGGTAGCATACTAGGAGTAGACATACTCAAGATCAAATATGTATACCGCTAGCTGCGATTAATAATAGTAACTTTTTTGTATCATACTATTTTCAATTATTAAATTAAATATTATAAATACAATATCATAATTATTTTGTCATATACTTAATAAAAATGTAATTTTAAACAATTAAATTGTGGTTCATGTTTTCTTCTTCTGTACTTCAAATACCATTATTAAAAACATTTTTTTACCTATTCTAACATTACAAACAAATCTTTAATATTGAGTCCGTGCATCGCACGGGACAATACTAGTATAATATATATCGTACCAATTGTATATATATGCTCGTATGAGACAACTCTTTTTTTTTTTTTTTGGTAATTGATAAAAACCTTTAATATGTGACAAGTATGTCATATACTTATGTCACTTTAAATTTTATAATGTTACTCTCAATTTGTAATTCATTTTTTTTACTCCCTACTTAGACAACATCTGTTCAATCAATAAAATCATGAAACTGCCACATAGACTTAGCTAAGTGATTTATTAGTAGGCACTTGGCAGTATTTGGGAGAAGAAATCAATGTGTGGAGTTATCATTTACTAGATCAGATCACTTGTGTGTACCGGCATTTGACCCTATCGGCTACTGAGTTACCATGTTTTACATCTCCCACATCTTTATATTCATTACTTATTTTAAAAATAATGAAACCACTTATATATTAATCAAATATAAAAATATTTATTTACATAGTAACCCATCAGTAAATACATAGGTCATCATCACATCAATATGATCAAAATACTAATGTATTTATTAAAAGACATTGCAGAAAATTCATATTTTTAGTGATAAAATATACACAACCTTATATACCTGATGTTTGTTCTTGATTAGTATCCCTAATGGGAGGATAATTACGGTTTGAATGATGTCTTGTAGACAACCTTATTAGTTGATAATCAGGGTCTTTAGTTCTGTCATCATCAGATGAGTCATTATTGGATGACACTCTACCACTTCCCCTTTGTTGCCTCCTTCTACTTGAATTCTCAGCCATCATATATTGCTTTCTATATCTGCTTCAAATAAATTAATAAACACAAAAAAAATGGTAAAAATTCATCCACTAAATTATAGAAAGGGAGTAATTATAGTATTGCACTTTATATCCCTGAGTTACAAGATAATTGAATTTAGTTCATATGTTATAGTATCACGATTTTTAGTTTCTTACTGAATTGTCAATAAAGTGACGTTTTCAGACCTTCTATATGTCAAAAATTTGCCATTATTATTCAAAACAAATAATATGATTTTACCATTTACTTCTCTTTTTTCATCAAACTGACACTCCAACTTTACCAATCACTTGCTAGATAGAGTTGCAAAAATAAATATTTTTGACAAATCCATTAACAAAAGGACCAAAAGCGCCACTTCATTATATTGACAAGTCAAGAATAGAAAATAGTGATGCTCTTAAGAAGTACAACAAAAAGTTTTGACAATCCATTAAAATATTTATATATGTAGAGTGAAGTTGGAATAAATTACCAATTAAGTGTGCAGCTAATCCATTTAATTTGTAAACCATGCACAACAATTCGTTTACACCATTGTGAGTTTTGTGTAGAGAAATTTAAAAATGATGATTCACATATGTATAGATATCAATAATAATATATTCAAATCACAAAAGAAATGATGGTTATCAATAACGATTTATATAAAATTCATATCAATTTTACAAACATCAAGTCAATTGCTACATTTCCTGATAGATATCCTTTTAAAATAATCAAAAGATTAAAAATTTCACATGAAAAAATAATGAAAAGAATCACAAACTTTAAAGACGTATATACTTACTCAAGAATCACCGTCGTCTACTATATGTGTTAGGGTTTTGCTGGCTAGGAATAGGAGTAGATTGCAGTAGCTCCTTTAGTTGTCCGTCTGCGATTTTTTTGTAGTTGTTGAAATAAGAATGAAAAAATGGAGAACAGGCGAAAACAAATATTTTCTCAAAGGTGTAAAGGCGCGCCCGTCTGCGATTTTTCTGTAGTTGTTGAAATAAGAATTAATTATTATACAATTGATAGTTATTTACTATATTCATTAGTATCTACAATATATATATATATATATATATATATATATATATATATATATATATATATTTATTTATTTATTTATTTTTTTGTATATATATATATATATATATACACACACACACAGTAGTATTTTCGCACGTGCGTTGCACGGGATGAATTTGTTATAATATTTTAAAAATATTTAGATCGATATATAATTGTATAAATTATATACTAGTTATTAATCAAATACAAAATAATTATTAAAAATATTTATTTACATAGTAACCCATCAGTACATAGCTAGGCCATCAAAATGATCAAAATACTAATGTACTAAAAGACATTTCAGAAACTTCATATTTTTAGTGATAAAATGTACACAACCATAAATACCTGATGTTGTATGCTGTGCAGGTTCTTGATTAGTATCCCTAATGGGAGGAGGATTAAAGTTTGAATAACGTCTTCTAGACGACAACCTTATTAGTTGATAATCGGGGCCTTTAGTTCTGTCATCATCAGATGATGAGTCGTCGTTGGATGACACTCTACCACTTTCCCTTTGTTGCCTCCCTCTACTTGAATTCTCAGCCATCATATATTGCTTTCTATATCTGCTTCAAATCAATTAAACACCAAAAAAAAAAAGAAGGTAAAATTTCACTAAATTATAAAAAGGGAGTAATTGCACTTTATGTCCCTGAGTTAAAAGATAATCGTGAATTTAGTTCATATGTTATAGTATCACTAGTTTTAGTTCTTGTTGGATTGTCAATAAAGTGACATTTTCAGACCTTCTATATATCAAAATAATTTTTTTTTTGACAAATCCATGCCATTAACAAAAGGAACTATTGTGAAGGGAAGAGAGAAGCGGGAAGAAGAAGATGAAACTGAAATATGAACTGTGTTTTATCTCGATATTTTGGCAGTCAGCTTTTGTACAGAGGAAAAACGGTTATAACAACCAAGGGAGAGGAAGTTACAAAAAAAGCCCTCTTTAGTTCTTGTTCTCTCCCTCTAATACCCCCCGTAAGCTGGGAAATGTAAGTCCAACATCCCCAGCTTAGCTACGAAAACATCAAATAGAGGAGCAGCCAAAGGTTTTGTGAATCCATCTGCAATCTGATTAAGAGAGGAAACAGACAATAATTTTATCAGACCTTGAGCCACCCTTTCCCTCACCACGTGGCAATCGATTTCGATGTGCTTCGTCCTCTCATGGAAGACAAAATTCTCAGAAATGGCAATGACGGATTTGTTATCACAAAAAACAAGTGCAGGACTGGCCAAGTTGACGTGCAGATCTTGGAGAAGAGAACTTAGCCATTGTAACTCGCAGGCAGTGGTAGCCAGAGCTCTATATTTAGCCTCGGAAGAGGATACTGACACCGTAGGTTGTTTCTTTGAGCGCCATGAAACCAGGGAGTTTCCAAGGAAAATGCAGAACCCGGTGACAGATTTGCGAGTCTCAGGGCATGAAGCCCAATCCGAGTCAGAGAAAGCCTTGAGGCTAGGAGCTGTTGCTGCTGGGTAGAATAACCCCTTTCCTGGAGATCCTTTTATATAACGAAGCACTCGATGAGCTGCAACCATGTGCATGTCTGTGAGGGCGCTAACAAATTGACTAAGATGATGGATGGCATAGGTGATGTCTGGTCTAGTAGCCATGAGGTATAAGAGTCTCCCTATCAACCTCCTATAACTTCCTGGATCCTCCAGAAGAGTTCCATCCTCGTGTGATAAAAGAGATCCCGGCACCATGGGAGTGCGTACCGGTTTGCATTCCAGAAAATAGTGTCACTTAGGATATCAATGGCATATTTACGTTGACATAAGTTCAAGTCATCACTGCTAAGTTGTGCTTCAATGCCAAGAAAGTAACTCAAGACCCCCAGGTCTTTAATCTTGAAGGCCATATGAAGCATATCTTTTATTTCTTGAATCAGAGACATGTTGTTGCTTGCCACTAAGATATCGTCAACATAGACTAATAGCGTAATGAGAGTGGTGTCATTACCTCTCATAAACAGAGAAGGATCTGCATTAGATTGCCTAAAACCAGCACTGAGAAGAGCAGCAGTCAATTTCGCATTCCATTGACGGCTTGCTTGCTTTAAGCCATAAAGGGATCTTGTTAATTTGCACACTTGGTTTGGTTTGTTTGTTTGAAACCCGGGAGGCAAAACCATATATACCTCTTCATTAAGATCACCATGGAGGAAAGCATTGTTTATGTCCATTTGGTGGATATGCCAGCCATTAGAGACAGCCAAAGCTAGGAACATTCTGATGGTAGTTAGCCTGGCCACAGGAGAGAATGTCTCCACATAATCCACCCCGAGCTGTTTTGTATAACCCTTGGCCACTAATCTGGCTTTGTAACGCTCCACCGTTCCATCTGCTTTGAGTTTGACTTTGTAGATCCATTTACAACCTATAGGTGTTTTGCCTTTTGGGAGATCTGTAATCTGCCAAGTATTATTCTCTTGAAGGGCTATAATTTCTGCTTGCATTGCATCTTTCCAGCAGTCTTGTTTAATTGCCTGGTTATATGTTCGTGGTTTTGTTATTGAAGTAACAGCCATGGTGAGAGCTTTATGTGAGGGTGATAAATTTTCAAGAGAGACTACCTTGGATAAAGGATAAGGAGAAGATCCTTGACTTATGACCAATTCACAGTAGTAGTCATGCAGTTTGGTAGGCATGTGTCTATCTCTGTTGGATCGTCGAATGGGAACAGGAGTATCATGAGATGGCTGCTCAACATTATTTGGTTCTTCATTGAATACTCCTTCATGTGGTGGCTGTATTTCATCATGAGTGTCATCATCAGAAAAGAGTATATGAGGGCTAGCAAAACCTTCACTGTGAGCTACATCACTATGGTTACTTGCAGATTGCACATTCTGCTCAGCATCTCTGCATGGCATATCATCATAATCCAAATTCATTGAAATAGGAATGCATGGCAGTGGAGGATCAAACTGTGTGATGGATTCTGTAGCAAGCTCAGACATAGGGAACTGTTGCTCATAAAATACCACATCTCGAGAGATAAAAATTGATTTATCAAGCAAATCGTAGAGTATGTATCCTTTGATGTGTGCTGGTACACCTATAAAGATACACTTTCGGCCTCTAGGTTCCATTTTGTTCCTTGAGTGAGGCAGTGTAGATGCATAACACAGACAACCAAACACCTTAACCATTATTAGATCTGGTTCCTTTCCATGTAGTTTGCAATATGGACTGAATCCCTTAATAACTTGCGAGGGGAGCCGATTGATCAGGAACACTACGTGCATGACACAATGGCCCCAGAACTCTAGGGGCAGCTTAGCTTGAAATCGAAGAGTCCTGGCAACATTAAGGATGTGTTGGTGCTTTCGCTCAACTACTGCGTTCTGTTGGGGGGTATTAAGACACGATTTTTGATGGATGATGCCCTTTTCATCAAAGAAATCTCTCATATCAAACTCAGGCCCGTTATCACTCCGAATTACTTTGATTAAGGCTCTAAACTGTGTGAAAACGAAATTGTGAAACTTCTTTATCAACTCCCTCGTTTCTGATTTTCTTTTCATCAAATGCAATCAAGTTTATCTTAAGTGATCATCAACCAAGGTTAAGAAATATTGTTCTCCTTTCAAAGAAGAAATTGGGAAGGGCCCCCATATATCTGCATGCACTAAATCAAAGCAAGCAATAGAAGAAGAGACATGTACAGGGAATGGAGATCTCTTGTGTTTAGCTATGTGGCAAAGATCACAAGCTTTATTTATAGCAGACAATTTTGGAACATCTTTGAGTAAATGCAACTTGTTCATAGGAAAATGTCCTAGACGTTGATGCCATGTCTCGATTTTATTACACTGCAAAACCACATTCTTGGGGTTAGTATTACTTTACAGGGGTTGCTTCATCATCACATATAGCCCCTTTTCTTGTTTAGCCAAACCAACCGTCATCCCACAATGTTTCTGAATCATGCACTGCTCAGGAGAAAAGATCAAGTTATAATGTGTCTTGAAGTAACTTGCTTACTGAGACTAAATGGAAATGAAAATCTGGAATGTGCATAACATCCTTTAACCAGAGATTACTGCCTAGTCTGACATTCCCTCTATGTTTGACAGGAATACGTCCTCCAGTGGGCAAACTGACCTCTTCTCCATCAACAACATAATATTCATCAAAGGAATTAATAGAGCAAGCAATATGGTCCGTAGCACCGGAGTCCAATATCCAAGTAGAGCTGCATAATGAGAGAAAATTAATGTGAGAAATAAGAGACTTGCCTTCGTGGTTCTCACTGAATTTTGGAACCAAAGACACAGCTGCTGCAGAGTTGGGAGTGGAGGATTGTCCTATTTGGTTTTGGATGGCCATCATCAACTTCTGAAATTGATTAGTTGTGACTCCCAGGTCTGAAACATTTTGCATAACAGATGTTGCACCCTGTTGTTTAGCCTTAGATTTGTAGCCTGGCACCCATCCCGGGGGGTAGCCCTGCTTTTTATAACACTTGTCGATGGTATGCCCGGTCATACCGCAAAAAGTACATTTAGCTTTGCTGCTCCCATTGCCTGAGAACCTTTTGATGTTATAAGTGTTAATGGCTGCTACTAGATCATATGTGGGAGTTTGGAGATTCTGGACAGTATTAGCATGATTGATCTCCATAGTATTCATGCTTAAGTTGGCTGCACTAATCTGTCTCTCCAGCTTCTCGGCCATAACATAGATTTTATATACTTCTGGCAGGGGATCGAGCACTAGAACATTGGCCTTTAGGCTTCCATATTCGTCGTTTAGGCCTTGTAAGAAACGGATCACCTGATTGACATCGCGTTCCTTTCTAATTTGATCGACGAGATCGCAGGTACATCGGGGATCACATGTAACACCCCAGATTTTCAAGACATTTAAAACTTATAATAAAGGTAGAATCTTATTAAATCCCAAGATATAAATACAAGCGTTCGGGGTGCTATGCCACACCTGGGCTAGAGAACCCAAGTGCACAGGCTAACTAACTAATATCCTCAAAGCGTAAATACGTAAACGTGGCATGCAGGCCAAAAGGGAAACTATCTACTTCTAAGTTCTAGCGCACTCCAGTGACTTAATCTTCTGTGCCTGAAAGCCAAATATATCTGTTCAGCGAGAGATGCTGGTAACCCACTCCAACGCGTTGAAATACAATACATATAGAGATATATATAGATATACGAAAACCATTTTGAGCATGAAGATATATCCTACGAACTCTAGCTTTTAAAACCGGGAATGACTCGACAGATAAGGCTAGACACAATCAACAGTTATAACAAGCGTATACAATCCACAACAGGCAAGACAGATAAAGCTGAGCACAATTAATAAACATAACCCAACATAAACAATCCCCAGCATAAATCCCATAGTCAAATCCCCCAATATACTCATAAACACAACTCATCCATATCTCATCAAATAGCACACTTTGTTGGCGCCATAGGACCAATCGCATGCCCATACATGAGGGTCAGCGCATATAGCTTTGACACGGCCCCGCAGCACCCTGCCCCGTCTCACATTATGGAGGAGCCGATCGCAACCGGCTGATGGACCTTTGTCCTACATAATATTTATATACCTGACCGGTCTTTACCAGCCTGGTTAACAGTTGAGATGGTTCTCAGCCCATTCAACTGCCCGTATAGTGGACCTTTGTCCTATATAATATTTATATACCTGACCGGTCTCTACCAGCCTGGTTAACAGCCGGTATGGTTCTCAGCCCATCCGACTGCCCGTATAGTGGAACTTAGTCCTATATAATATTTATATACCTGACCGGTCTCTACCAGCCTGGTTAACAGCCGGTATGGTTCTCAGCCCACCCGACTGCCCGTATAGCCCGATTGATCTTAATCAACTCGGGGTTACATGCACACATAACACATAGCAAGTACATGCAGCCCACATTGACACATTGGGAAGGGGGAGAAAACATATAACAAAACCTATGCGTGATCCATCACATACTAAGAATAGTCCTAAGGGGTTCATACTTCTTCCACCTAGGTCAACGGGATACCAATTCAGCTAGCATGCAATATAATAGACTCATAAACCTACGAACGGTATCCGAAATATGAAACTAGTCATAGGAACGATAAACGGAGTCCGTTGGGACACCACGGGGGACGGGGAAACATCAAACGGGGAAGTCGAAATCCCCAATTGGGGTGCAAACCAGCGGGTAGCCGGTGGGTGAGGGATCACCCGCCGGCGGTAACAAGACCAGGCAGCTGCTCGCCCGCCGGCTGCCCGCTGCCGGCGTTGCCCAAGGAGGCCGCGGGTAGGTGGCGGGTCCCCTACCCCCCACTGACTCTTTTCATCAAGAAACGCCCCGGGAACCTTTGTGGAACCCGAAACCATGCTTGGACACTTTCAAACGGAATTGATAACACACGTAGACAATTAACGGATCAGAATCAGGAAACGATCGGCACATAACCTATCATGCTTTTCTAAACGTAATCAACACGCAAACATGCGATTTCCCCACCCGATAAACCAAAAATAAGATCATACGATACAACCTAGGGTTCTAATCACTTTTATATCAACAAGAATACGGTTCGTCTTCTAATTACAAGATTCGGTACAAATAACACATA